GTTTTAACGTCCACAAACTCCTTGTTTTCCAGGCAGAGCTGTTCCTGCGACGGAGTTGTGATCACCAAACAGCAGACAAAAATATGTCTAGCTAGTGTTAATTATGGAGCATCTAGCATCTTAATAAATATTGATGACCAAAATTCAGATAAAAAAATGGTGGACACTGGCCAGAAACATAATTCCAATTGAACAGTATTGTTGCTCCATGTCTGTTGGGTGTGTCATGGGCAACCGCATTGTATGTTTTCTAATAATGTAGCGTACAGATTTAATCAAATTCTGAACCAATGTTACATGGAGATGGCTACATTTCTTCCTGCCGATAAATATGTCGTTTACGACGTGTTTCCTTTGGGGTGCAAATCAAACATATGGCAGGAGTGGCTATACGATAGTTCATGGAGAATTGGAACACATTTAACTTTCTTGCCTACATTTGCATTATCCAAAACAAAATACTTTTGCATTTACTTTCATCTTCGCTTAAACCTTTAAAAGCACCATGCTTTGTGACCAGTCCTACAGAATCCTATGACGCTTCATTACTTTAGAGTTACGTTATACCCCTCTGTCATACGTTTATTAACATGTTCTACAGCCTAAATCTATTCAAAATTGCTTGTCTTCCTTTCATTCATTACTTTTGTATTTAATCTATCCTTCAGCTTTTATGCATATGCCATCTATCTATGTTGTGTTTGCTTGCCTTTGTGTTCCAATGAGATAATAAAACGAAGGCCATCAATTCATCCACAGTATCTGTCTGTGGGAAAGCTCTGGCTTTACAATCAAATGACAATGTGGAATTACAAAGATTATTCAATGTTTTTCTCTATTTACCATCTTTGGGACAAAGTTGCTAACTCATAAGGACAGTTTTGGGCTTGACTTCAGCCAAATTGGACCCAAATATAATGTGGACAGGTGCTACAAATATAAGAACCAGTTTCCATTTGTGTTAAGGGTTAAGATCTCTCTCATCTCTTCCCCCTGGCCTCTATCCTCCATGCTCCAAGCTGAGTTCATGGGGATTTAGCAGATGAAATCAATAAAAGATTGAAGCTTCCTCTGGATTCACCCATTGGATCAGTTCATGGGACGAGCAGGGCGGTCGTCATGGTTTATGCACTCCTCATCTGCTCCTACACTTCTCTGTGTGGAGTACTGTTTTTCCCTTCCTCAAGACTTCATACCACAGCAAAACTAAATCCCCTGTTGTTCGTGGCCACCATTTCACAACTCTCTATTATTCTGATTAAGCCACTTCCTTCAGTTCTTACCAACGCTATTAATAAAAGCTGCTTTACACAATGATTGAATGGGCCTGACAAGCGTACAGTATATCATTAGCGTTTTAATTAATTACGTACTGACTCAATCCCACCTGTGATGATTAAAAAGGATATCATTCGGTGTTTCACTACAGTCTTTTTTTATTCGGAATGACAGTCTGCCACTCACTCTTTTCCAATAAAGCTAATTCTGATGATTCCCGAACGGGGCGGAGTAAAGACATAATTAATAGCATGCATGACCTGGAACATCAAATAAGAAAAGAAGGAGAGAGCCGTAGTCGGGGACTGCATTGCTTTTGATTATAATGGCAAGAATGATCGTGATAACTAAAATATCTCAAAAAAATCTTTCTTAGGATGTCTACGTGAACCCTATAGCTAATGGTTTAATGCAGAACAATAAACAAAAGATCACTAATGGAACTACAGGCTTTACTTACGGCTCTGCTGATCAGACTTTCTCTTTTATACAGACTGTCTTCATTTCTTTTCTTCATGAATTACGATGACTTCATTCTGGGCCATTTTTCTAATGCTATTAAGTTTCTGTCCACTGCATTTGTTTCAAATTAAAAGCCTATCAGGATGGGAGGGATTATACCCTGTGAGTCCCTGGAAGGCTTTTAATATGACAGAATCTGTACAGCAAAGTGTTGGGTTCAATGACAGTGGCTTAGCAGAGATTAAAGGGAGGCAGCCTCTACAGTATAACTAATGAAAAGCAGGAGCAGGTCAGAAAACAGTGTAGGATCCTTATTTAAATATAATAGTGAACTAGAGGGAACATAGAAAATGGCTTCTGTGTTATATAAGCTAGTTTAAAAAGGTTAAGCTAATAAAAGGCCCTAGACTAAGGCTAATAGAGTGATGCAGTGAATGAGATTCAATTTGAAGGCCGACTACGGAAAAAAAAAAAATTGGATTTTGGTATAACTCAGAAATTAAGCTTTGTGGCCAACAAACGTTTATAATAATCTCAAAATAGTAACACCCACTTTGTGATTTTGGAAGTGTAAACGCAACGTGCGCAAATAAAAAGCTAACGTAATGCTAAAAACAAACTACAGTAAATCACATGGCTGTGCATCACCGGCGTGATGATGTTTAGTATTTTTATTTAATAATTTATAGATATATATAATAATAAATAGAAACCGCCGTTTTTATGACACAAAGAAGTTTCGGACAATCACGAGTGGGGTAATAATTGATGCATTTTTCTCGTAGATAAAACGTGAAATTCTTGTAACCAAAAACACATAAAAAACAAACATTGACTTTTCATTTCTGGGTTGTAGGAAACATTACTGCATCACTCTTAAAGAATGTACTGTTCACATTAAACTAGCCAAGATGATCATATAGAAATGGCAAACTAAACAGGACATTACTTTAAATCAACAAGATCCTCACAACAAAAATAACTGTCAGCCTCTCTGAAGGACTGCTTTCCCTTCCTGTCACACTGCCATACTTATTTTCTCTCGCTCTCTGTGCCATTAACCATTTTTTCAAGCAACCTGCGACCTTCCTTCACCTCTCGAGCTGAAATCAAGGAGCTGTATCTGCAAACTGTCAGCACAGAAAATACAGCCTGCCATCCCGCTAGGCCAGTGTGCATTTTTGATTCCATCCGTTAGAGTGGGGATTTAGGGGTAGTAGAATTTCTGCAATCCAGAGAAGCCATGTAATCCTTCTATTGAACTTGAAAAACCACCAAAAAATTGGAGTTCTCACATGATGTCAGTGATATACTCCTCCTGTCCGCCTCTTATTTCTGCCACCGTGCCTCATCACACAACCTGTCCACGCTCTGCTACACCTGCCTGTCTATATGTATGCGCGTATGCATGAGTGCACGCTTTTCTGGCATGAGTGAGGGCTTGATGCCACACATGCTCGTGTGTGTGTGTGTGTGTGTGTGTGTGTGTGTGTGTGTGTGTGTGTGTGTGTCCTTCCTATCAAATCTCTGTCAAAGTCTTCACAAAGCGGATCAATCTGCCGTGCCGTGTGTAACTTCTACATTTTTCAGAGATGGCTTTAATGACAGGGCTACCACCCACCAAATTAAGAGTATGTATTTATTAAAGGTCGATGACAGGCGCAGGGGGAAGAAAGAGGAAGATAGAAGGGAGGTGAGAGAGGAAAACAAATAGAGGGAGGAAGAGAAAGAAGGCTAAATGGATGAACAGGTGAAAACAGGAAGACGTTATAAAGAGAGGAGTGTGCATGTGAGGAGCGACAGATGGAAGCAGAAACAAAAAAAAGTGCTTGCGAGTCCTCCCTCCCCAAATTGATTCTGACTGTCGGCCAGGGCGCCTGATGGATATCTGAGCCTTGATTGGAATTTACATGCCAGACGCTCCCCCTCCCCCCATCCATCGCCTTCACATCCAATAACCCAGCGTGCTCTCAACCTGCTTTGAGTGATAAGTGCTGGAATATTTAATCCCAATGACACTCTCCTAAAGCTCAGAGAAGGATGCATTGTTTATGAGAGGAGGAGGTATCGTTTCAACAGTTGATTAATGGCAAAGGAAGCTATCGTCAGATGCCATCGCACCGCGGGGGCACGCTAGGCCCAAATTGGATGAGTGTGAAGTAGTAGCAAAGGTGCTCAGTTGCTAGATGGAGTGGAACTATCACACCAAGATATTTGGCGCAGTGTTTGCTTTGCAAGCCTGCACACACCTCTGGAAAATGGGAACTTTTGTCAGCAGCAGAGGCAGCCCTGGGGATTCACTGTCATTTCCCAAGTCTACACATTACTTCATAATCTGAAGCTCCAAATGGGATATGTCCTGAATATAAAACCCTATTACTATATATATCCAGGCTTAGAAGTTTTGGGTGATATTGAAGATTGATTTTATTTTGAATGATAGAACAAATACAATTTCCTTCATTTTTAAAGAATGAAACTACCAAAAAGACCCCATACCCTCTTCTGTGTCCCAATGGGAGCAGTACTGGGTTTAACTGCAGTTGGAAATCACATACTGACGGGATGATTACTATACTCAATCAGTATTTACTGCATACTGCCTACCTAATTAACTTTTAAGTTTGATTACTGCTGATCACACTGAAGAGCACCCATCAAGGGTTAGGGTTAGTCATGTTAATGTATCACATGACCAGCTAGCGACTCTGTCACATCACAGCAAACATCACAGCCATTTTTTTTAAAAGATGTTTGGATAAGCATCATTTTAAAGATGTTGTTTGGATTTTCTTTTAATTTTTTTTTTTTATTATATCATAACTTAGTACTTTTTTTTTTAAATGCATGTCACATATTAACATATGTAACATTAAGCTGTCTGTGGCTCTTTTTCCTGCTGTAACTACGCACATTTCCCTCCGTGGGACTAATAAAGCTATTCTGATTCTGATATTTGGAATCCATATTTAGAGCTTTTGGCTGGTCTCAATGCACCAAGACGCAATTCATTGTGGGACAGTATTTTCTTCACCATAGTATTTCTGGTGTACACACTGAAGTGGGAACGCACTACATAGTAAAAGAACAATTAGTTGTTGTTTTTATAAACTTAATTTCAACCTTGAGTTGAGATCATTGTGTCCCCAGGAATTTGTATGTTTGGTCTGTCCATTTGTTGTGATCCTACCTTAATGTTGGGCATGGGCATGTCAGTATTTGGCAAAGAAGTATTTTAACAATTCAATGTGAGTACTTACCTATGTTTCCAGTGCGTACGTGCAGCCGCCCCCTGATGATGGTCTGGACTGTCATGGGGCTGATGGTGGTCCGTTGGCCCGGATCAGCGCTTGTCAGCAGGATGTCCTCCACTACATAATCTGTGGTCAGCACCTCCACCTCCTGAAGGGCCTGCACTGCCGATCTGCCCTGACGCAACATGAACTACAAATACAAAACAGAATGAGCGAAAAGTGCTTTTAACACAAATATTATTATCAATCCTTGTGGGAAAGTGATTTAATGAAGATGAACTCGCAAAGAAATTAGATCACATTAACAAAAATGAACAGTTTGATTGATCGCTAAATGAACAAGGTCAAAAGGCCCTTCCCAGTTGTAAAATACTCCCTTATCTTTTCTCATTAAACGCTTTACAAATTTCACCAAGCTGCAAAACAAATCAATTTTACATCAAGGTTGGCAAGAGATTTTCTGTCCAATCAATAAAGAGCAGAGATGAAAAGACCAGAATTAAAAATCCCTTTAATGTGCGGTTGTTTTTTCTTTAGAGGTTAAGATACAGTAGGAGGGAAATGTCTTTCAGTTATATCCTTGAACACAGAGCACAAACAGTATTTGTTTACCGAAACGTGCAACATATTTCATAAAATAAGACCATTTGCAATTCTTCTGGTCCCAGTAGACATACATTAAAATCATTAAAACAACTATTTTGTAGTTGTAAATGTCATTTTTGTGTATTAGAGGCAACCTGGTTAATATACAGTTTACTGAAGCATTTCTGTATTTGACATTCTATTATCAGTTTTCTCCGCAACGCCTGGTTCACTCTATTAAATGTGTTAGAACAATCTGCAGACGCTGCATGAATCCATGACAGACGCACTGCGATACGATGAAGGTGTGTCACGAGCTGACAATGCATGTGTAAACAGGATGTTTTATTTTCCTTCGATGCAAAACTCTAGGGAGTTTTGTTCTGAACACGTCAGTGGGATCGGAATTTGCTTGTAATCCTACAACAAATCATTTTTTTCTCTATAGTTTCCAATCACAAGTCGACTTCGGTCATTTACCTTGAGCTCGATGGCGGTAGAACCTATGAGGAGCAGTGAGTCGCTGTCCCAGATGTCGATGTGCATGGTGTGGAGGGCCAGGTAGCGCAGGAACCAGCGCTTCTCTCCTTGCCTTAGGAAACTTTCATCTACTTTGAACTGCACCTGCAGGCCCGGGGAACCTGGAGAGGAGAGAGGAGACTTCAGCATGGAGGGAAATGATTTACGCTGTTCAGAAATTATGACAATATGACCAAAATAGTGTTGTTATGCTAGTTGATGGCTGTTTTCCCAATCTGGAGTAACAAGCAACTACTCTACAGCTTTGTAGATAGGATTAAGACCAAGACATGGTCTTTCTTCATAGCTACATTCACTATAAATAGTGACAGAACAATGGATGAGGTAGGCACATAAGAAATGTGGTATAAGTCACTCACTATTGATGAGAATTGTTTAGAATGAAAAGCCCAAGACTGTACAGTATGTAGAGCTAAAAAGATCATCTTATTAACCATTGAGTTGATGGATAGGAACATACTGTAACTGCCAACTATTTACAAAAAATTGTTTCATTAATTTTCTATGCCAACTTTCCACCTTCCAGCTGGTCAATTGAGGAGATGTGTTGTTTTGTCTCCTGCCATATTGAACTAAATGATATTTATGTTTTGGAGTGATAGAAAGACCAAAACAAGACGTCTTGATATGTCTTAGGAAAATGTGCGTTTTTTTGCAGACAATTTGGAGAGATAATAAGTAGAGTAATTAACAGTTAACATCTTTTTTTTTGCAGCCCACCTTGGATGTCATTAGGGTTAAAAGGGCTTAGGTCTGGAAAGTGTACTATCCTGTCATTAAGTTGTGACAACCTAAAATATCTGAATCTTATGGAAGGGCGACATAAAATCCCTCCTTTAAATTCGGACCCATTTGAGACTTTGATGGAATGGCAAATTGATAGTCGACACCACCAAAAGAGCTGTCTAAAATACTGAACCGTTGCATGTTTCCACTGCCAAAAAACCCAATAAATATGCAAAACCTGGAGAGTGACAAAAAACAATCTATGATCTGATCACTAATTTATCTTTTTGTATTCATCCAGATGGCTTTGAATTCAGAGGGTGGGCCCTATTATCTGTAAGCAGCTGTCAAACTTGTGGACAGATCTGATCCGGTGCAGGAGCCATGTACTGGGACTCATTAGGTCTGATGATCGCGCTGCATGGGAGTACAATAACCAGGGAGCATGAGGCCATTTCACACAATCTGAAGCACCCTAGGGTTCCCATAATTCATGATAATGGTGCCTAACACTGCCAAGAAACCTCAGGAGTGATTTTCTGAACAGCGGGATAAAGTCATGACTTTAATCAGCACATCCACAATGGACCCTTAAGAGGAACACATTCTGGCCTTCATTGCTCTAAAGCAAAAGGGACTTTTTTCTTCCTTTTTTAAAGAAAAATGCTACACATACAGTTTGAATCTGCTCTCGAGACAATAAGCGGCTATACATTTCGTTTTTATAGCGTTAGACATTTGCTATCATGTCCAATCCTGCAAGGTCGCCATTTCATTTTGATTAAATCCGATTGGACCAAAGCCATATTTGTTTTGGAGTGCAAAACGAGCGCCCTGTGATTCTTTGATGACAGCTCTGCGATGCATCTGTCTCATCCTCAAACTCAGAGCGCTTCAAATGAAACTGACCCAATCAGTGATCCACCTCAGCTGGTGAGGGGGTACAATCAGTCAGCTGCGGCCCCAAAAACCAACCTGCAGCACTGTGGTATTGTTACCGATGTGTGTGAAAGGTGTGATGTGGATCTGTGCGCCGATTCTCCCCAACATATCATACCTCCAAGTCCGTATCAAAGCAACTCCCCCCACCCCGCTGTCTTTATTCCCATAAGTTGAACGTGCGGAGAAGCAGCTGGCTGGATAGAAGTGGAGTAATGAGGACCTTTGGTGACAGCCCTGCTGTGTTAAAGAGACCAGCAAGCCCCTCCAACCTCTCTTCACACATCAACGGGTAGGAAACTTTTTTTTTTCATACACACTCTCGCAGGATTTCTTTCAAGCATGCATGCAGTCAGACAGCCTGGTATGATTTAGTTTCTCAGAGTTTTGTTAAAGTACAATGCCAATGCATGTAGCAAATTCCACGTTCAAACGATGTAAAGATCCATCATTTGCTATTGGTCCAAATGACTACCTGATTTGAAAATAACTCTTCCTACAAGGTCCATGTAGAAGCTGTTATGGAGCTTTTCACCATATCCAATGTACTTTAGTGGCAGAGGAAGTTTGCACGCTTGCTTCACATTGCTCTAAATTCTTATATAGTCTATTTCATTTATTTCATACAAGACCAAAGGTCACTTACTAGTGTGGGAGACTGGTTGTGGTCTGGTACTTTTTGCTCCTGTTAGATGCAGATGAAAGCCCTGCAAGCTTTTTATGGGACCTAGGATTATTATAGATCATATTTCTTTTTAATTATATGGATACTGACTATTATATTATATATGGATGTTTTTCAATCAAGAGCCAGGAGAGTAAATCTTTTTATTTATTCTACCAATTCAATTCATATTAATACAGAAAATTAATGAAATAGACAATCTAAAACAAAATAAGTAGAAGAATATTTATTTTGATGTCATACAGTA